CACCTACACCAACACCCACACCCACACACCCACACCCACACCCACACCCACACCCACACCCTAAAGGCTTGAACAGGAAGACGGAGGAATTGTTGAACAAGAAGACGCACCGAAGAGTGAGCGTGTTAGGAGGATTTAGATGTAGGTGTGGGTAGAAATGAGTGTTAGGGTATGGTTGCAAGCGTAGGGATCGGAGAATAAGGACGTTTCAATAGGAATGACAGGATAAAACTGTCAGTATTTGTGAGAGGAATTGTGTGAAGATATGAGTGTAAGTAGAAGTGTGGTAGGTGAAGGTTGTGAAGAGATAGGTGGGTTGACAACGATGCGCGCAAAGGTATAGCAGCATAAGAATGTGAAGAGGATCGAGACACATGTGTGGAATACGCTGAGGATAAAAATGTGATTCCAGGCATGTGAGAATAGGATGTAAGCGAACGCTACGGAGAATAAATGGCGTTAGGATGCTGTGGTAGAATAGAAATGTTAGAACAAATGTATATGGTAAAGCTGTAGTTATGTGTGTGAGCATATGGGTGGTTAGATAAAGGCATTAATGAAGGAATAGGAAGGTGAGAATCTCAATATCACAGTGTCAAGGTAATGGTGCGAGAAAAGCATGAAGACGAAAGGCCTGGGTAAACAGGTGGAAAGATACATGCATGAGTCCGAGGTACGGGTAACAAGGATCTAAAAATGAGGGCGCCAGGATTGGAGTGTAAAGAAATTTGAGAAGTGAGCAGAGAGAAGCGTCAGAGTATGGATGATAGAGTATCCGCGACAGAATAAGGTCATTCTCACAGGGGTAGAAGAGTAAGAGTGTTAGGATCAGGATGTGAAGGTAATGGTGCGAGCAAAGGGTTGAGAGGATTATGGTGTGACTAGAGAGGTAGAGAGAAGTGCGTTGGATCATTGATGCGTAGTGCAGAGTACGAAGCTAAGGGCATGAGAATGTATGTACCAAGAAGATAGAGGCTTTGGTGCGAAGAAGGGTCAGAATGAAGATATGAAGATAGAGAGGTCTCTCTTGATGTCACTGTTCTTGTTTGTTAGTACTTTTGTGCGTTCGACGTGAGTCCGCTTTGGATTTCACTGGAGGCTCTATCTAATGGGTGTATTATGTACCGGCATGTGAGTCTCAAGTTTGGTGCTACGATTCAGTGTACTACAAAGCGTGAGCATGATTAGGTGAGTAGATATGATCGCTCTATTCATATGAGAAGATTGTCTGGCTCTACTTGAGTCCAATTTATGAATGCATTTAGCAACGTGGTAGTCAATATTCTATCCTTTCATTTTTGGCTTTTAGGATTGAGCTAAGCGAGGCTCATGGAGCCGAAGCGTTACTTGTTTTAGACAACTTTACTTTAAAAAAATGAAAATATCAAAAGTACCATCAGTTATCTTCAAAACTGTGATGATCCAAACAATATGAAACGAAATGTAATCTTATTTTCTTTCTTATTACAGCTCGAATCCTTTGTTTATTTGATTGATATTAATTTAAATTACATAATCTTATTGTTAATTCTAATGATAACAGATTTCGGTTGTAACGCGAAACTATTTCACTTACTAGTCGCGATGATGAATAATACTAGTGCTTAAGCATAGTTCTTTTATAGATCTAAGTATACTCAGGTCTATAAAAAATGTATGTTTGAATAGAAATACGACTTTATATATAAATTCGTATTCCTATTGATCGTTTTCGTTATTTATCTGAAAAAATAGCTATAGAATACTGTTAAGCCTTGCGTAAATGATGTTGTATGAGCTTGACAACAACAAATTTTCATAAACTTTCAATGATTCAGATCATTCATGTATTAGGACATGAGGAACATTGTGTTTAGAAAATATTTCTAAAGAGAACAATACTATTTTAACTAGTGAGAATCCGTGTATACATACTGCACGGCCGGTTTTTTCTTTAACGTATGACTTCAAAAGTTTAACGTTTCATCCGATAACAGACATAAAGATACGCGATATTATGTATATAGATCGAAGTCTTATAACCTCATACTCTTCTATTGCACATATTTTTATAGTCCATGTAATGTTAACTCCTTATAGCCTTATATCCCTTGTACCACTTCTAGCCTTATCCGTTTATTGTCTTACATCCTTTAAGGCCTATGGGTACCCTATAGGACGGTCCATGAGGATCCATGGGTGCCCTCATATAATAGCCCTTGAGGGCCTATGGGTACCCCCATATAACAGTCCTTAAGGGTCTATGGGTACCTTCATAGGATAGTCCTTGAGAAACTATGGGTACCCCCATATAAAAGCTCTTGAGGACCTATGACTACCTCTACATAGTACTCCTTGAGGAACTATAGGTACTCCCAAATAATAATCCTTCAGGATCTATGGCTACCTCTACATAACACTCCCTGAGGGACTATGGGTACTCCCATATAATAGCCCTTGAGAATCTATGAATACCTCTACATGCCAGTCCTTGAGGAACTATGGATACCTCCATATAATAGCCTTTGAGAACCTATGGGTACCTCTAGATAATAGCCCTGGAGGAACTATGGGTACCCATATATAATAGCCCATGAGGACCTATGGATACCTACATAGCATAGCCCATGAGGACCTAGGGGTACCTCCATAGGATAGTCCATGAGGACCTATGGTATCTTCATAAAATAGCTCGTGGCGTCTTCCCCTTATAGCCTTATATGACCTTTGACCTGGTACAGAGAAACACACACACACTGAACATTATATATATAGAAGCGAGAACCCGTGCATACTGCACGGCGGTTTTCTCCTTTCATGTATGACCTTAGATCTTTAACTTTTCATCCGATAACAGACATAAGACACCCGATGTTACGTACACAGAAAGATAATCCTACGGACTCATATTCTTATATCACAAATATTTTTATAATCCTTTTAGCATTCGACATTATAGTCTTCTATCCCTTGTAGGTCTTGCAACCTTATCCATTTATTGCTTAGAGACCTTTTGCCTTTTCTCTTATTTCCTAATATCCTTATTACCATATCTCCTTATTGCCTTACTCTCTTTCGAACCTATGGGCACCCTCACAGGATAGCACTTGAGGAGCCATTGGCACCCCCACAGTATAGCTCTTGTGGATCTATGGGTACCCCCACAGCATAGCTCTTGTGGATCCTTAGGTACCCCGCAGAATGGCTCTTGTGGACTTATAGGTACCTCATAGGATAGTCCTTGTGGACCTATAGTTCCCATATAATAGCCTTGGGAACCACCCCCTTATAACCTTATTTGACCCTTGACCCGGCACAGAGAAACACACACACACATACTGAACATTATATATATAGATGAAATTTATGTTAAGAAAATCCATATAAAGTTTAGCCATTGAGAATTCAGAAGAAAATAGGGTGTTTTCAGTATTGAAAAAATTATAAAATATTCCCGATTTAATATGAACTAGTGTCTTTAATATTTACTGATGCTGCTTTAATTTGCTTAAGTGCTCAGTAATTAATAACATTGCAGACATGCTTCTTGTTGATATAGAAATATAGGGACATCTGTGTGGAATAAATTTAGTAATTTTGAATATCTACAGAAAAGTACGAGGGAGATTGTCGAAGTCCATGTTCGTCTTCTCTTCATGCACAATCGAATCAATAATCGATTCTATTTTTCACTGTGTATGATCGATTGGCTGCTGATTGATGATGACACTTTTGATGCAGTGTTATACAAATTGATCATGAATCACTAAAATGAGAAAAAGATTTCGCTTCGTGAGATTTTGGTAGACAAGTCAACATGTAAACATGTATGTATGTTTTTTACAAGGTAACAAAACTAAATACTTTAACTTATCAACCCTTTTTTTCATAATATCCTGCTTTATGTACTCAGTATACGCGTTGCAAGGAAGAATCTATACGAATTTCATTTTAGTGTAGCAGAAATTCGTTCACAAAATTCAAGTAAGATCTTGCTATGGGTTGCGCACCAACAAAAATTCACGCAGTCACTCCTAAATATGTGAAACAAGCAAATGATATCGTGCTTCCAGTGCCTGAAAGGATTGTTACTACGACAGATACATCACGAATCATGAAGAATGAAGATGATATTTTCGAAGAGTTTGCGACAAAACAATCAAACAGAGCAACTGATGAAAGCACGTCAGTCAGTGAATTAGAATCTGAACAATCACGCAAAGTACATGAGGAACGCTTTCCATCAGACAATATCAGTCTTGATCGATCAACCGATCTAACCAAGAAACATATGGCAATGGATGAGTCACGATCACAAAGATCATACAAAGTAGAGGACGAGTATATGCATATAAAAGCGACATCATCAGATATTGATCTTACTCCTGACGACAACGAAGCATTCACGCCATCTATATGTCAACAACGACAGGCCGCGATCGAGAATATGTCCTATCGACAGAGTATTGATAAATGGCGACCAAAATCATTCGAACAGTTGATCGACTCTATTCAAATACTATCGGTGAATCAAAATGAAATCGATCAAGCGTGGATTATTTTCTATTGGATCTCTCAGAACATTCGATATGATACGGAATCTTACTTCAGCAATAACATCGGTTCACAAGCGTCCACTAATGTGTTTCTAAGTGGTAAAGCAGTCTGTGAAGGCTATTCAACATTATATGCAGACTTATGCACTCGAATCGGACTTCAATGTCGTAAAGTGAGTGGCTATGCAAAGGGATATAGTTTCAACTCACGTCAAACAGGTTTTCAAAAGACGAATCATGCATGGAATATAGTTACGCTCAAGAATGGACATTCGTACTTTATTGAATCAACTTGGGGTTCCGGTCATTTGGATGATTCAACAAAGCAATATAAAGCGAAACTAGTGCCACATTACTTCTTATGTCGACCTGAGCATATGATCTATGGACACTTACCCGAGAATTCTCAATGGCAACTGCTCAAATGTCCGTTAACCATGGAACAATACCTAATGCTACCTCGCACATATGAAGAATTTTTTAAACTCAATCTAAATATTATATCACCAGTGTATACGCACATGGTTACTTATGAGACCGGGCAATCCTATGGAGAGATACTCATTGCAACACCAAACAATGATATTATATTATCAGCGTCGTTACATGACGTATCAAAAACAAGTATTGAAGGTGGTGATTTTGTATATTTCGATCGTGACCGAAATTTATGGCGGTGCCGTTTTGCGCCACAAAAAGTTGGAAATCATACAATTTTGATATTTGGTTGTAAGAAAGATGATTCAAAAAGATCTACTTCGAATTGTACTGTCGAATTCACCTTTGATATTGATCACCTTCCTGCAACACCCATCTCATATCCTTTAACATGGTCACATTTTTTTGATTATCAGCTTGAAATTATTAAGCCAGTCAATACTCGTTTTATTGATTGGCCACCAGACAAGAATAGTCCCTACTGTGAAATTCTTGTTCGTTCTCCTGATGATGTTTACGTCTCAGCAAAGATCGCAGATAGTGTTAGTAGTAAAACCATAGAAAATGGGGACTTAATCAATTTTAACAGTCAAGAATCATTGTGGCAATGCCTCTTCGCTCCATCGATGAATTATTCATCGTATAAATTAACATTATTTGCTAAACGTTTCAACGAAAATCAATCAAATTGTGTCGCTCAATTCGATTTTAAACAACTTCCTAAGTCAACGCTTCAAAATTATATGTCATTTCCGCTTACCTATACACCATTTGGAGAAGCTAAATGCCATTTGTTTGAACCACTTGATGGCATATTAAAGCGTGGATCAAAAATAAAATTTCGCTGTCGAATTCCTGGTGCCCATGTGGTGAGTATAACTGTCGATGGACAATGGCTAAAAGATGATCCAGCATCTGGTATGGACGAAAATCATCTGTTTCAACGTGAAATTCAAGTGGGACAGAAAGATGTGGCCATATGGGTCAAATTCAATAAAGAAAAGTCGAATTATAAAGGATTGTTAAAGTACTCTGTGAAATAATATAAATAAACAATAATATATTCACTAAAAAAGTATTAAGAACAAAAGATCTACATTCTTAGGCCATGAGTGTTATCGTGCAAGAATTTGAATGAACTTCGTATCGAACAGTTTGACCGATCTACTTACGTTTATTATTTTTAAGCAAAGGAATTCATAGTCAAATAGCATGATATCAACATGTGTTCGTAGGAATTGGATAAAGAGACTTCATGCTCTCTTGTAACGATTACACAAGTGCATGACCTATTGACATTGAGTAGTCATCTTCATATTAGAAATCATTTTGACATTGAACAGCCGATGCTGTCTAAGATGAGGAAATTTTATATGAGATATTATTGAACATTCGCAACATTTAAAAGCATGTTTCACATTATGCATACAATCATATCACCAATGATAATTGTGACCTAAGTTAATTCCACTTGAATAGGAAAAACAACGAACTATAACTAACAAATGCATATGATAAAAAATTTCGATACAGGGTGTGTGGATGAAGGTGTGGGTGTAAGGTATGGATGGATATGAGGTGTGGGGTATGGGTGTAGGATGTGGGCGTGTATGTGTGAGTGTGGGCGTTGGATGTGGGTTGGGGGTAGGTTGGGGTGTGGGTGGGTGTGGGTGTGCGTGTGCATGTGGGTAGTATTACTTCTTCACCTACTTCTACACCCACACCACACCTACACCCACACCCACGCCCACACACCCACCGCACGTGCTATTGCGAACTTCAGTCTGTCAATATCTTCTCATAATACCTACTTTTCTATTATGACCACAATATTGTTTCAGATTCTTTTTTCATTTGTTATTGATCAAACAGATCAATCAAAAGAAATTCGTTGTAGCTTTTTGTATTCTTCGAAGGTTTATTCATTGTTCCAGGTCTTTTCTTATTATGAATATTTTTAGACAACATCAACAAACCAAGTTATATTTATAATGTCAACAAGGAAAGAAAAAAAATCAATATGAATTGATTCAATTTTTTTTTCTATTATTTAAGCAATACACCCAATTGTTTGATTTAAAAAGAAGATTGTAAATATCTTTTGTATATATAGATTAATTAAACTTTTTCTTATGATTATTTTTGTGTACTCAAAAAGTGAGTACACTACTAAAATCGGTCAGTGTGTCCGGCCGGCCGTCAGTCCGTCCGTCCGTTTATTCGATAACTTTTGAAAGGAGAGTCCGATCGCGATGAAATTTTCTACACAGTTTAGTCTTAACAATATCTCGGTCGAGTTCGAAGATGAGAATGATTGGCCGAACCATTGCTGAGTTACTGCAAAAATAGACAGTTTTCCCTATGAGAAGATAGACCCTTCTCTATTTTAATTAAAAACTTTTCCTAGCATAGTCAAAGAAAACCCCAACTATTATACACCATTCGATAGAGAATTTCACGAGCTACAAAATGGTATATAAAACATAAAGAAACAAGATGGCTAGCTCACCTATTGCAAAGATAAACAAACGGAAATCGGTTCTGTTTTTGTCTGCGCTCTAATCGATTCATAATTCGAGCTCTATCTTCCGATCACAGAGATAATACTTCGAGGTTTTCTAGGATGGAGAACTCGAATCTGTAATCCACTTGACTCGAAGCCCCATTGGTTGAGCACTGACCAATAGAAATCAAATTATAGGAAAAACGAGTTTTTTAGGATAACTCAAGGCGAAGAGTCCAAATCTGAGCTGTATTCACTGCAAAATCCTATTGGTTGAGCAGTAGCCAATAGAATTCAAGTGTTTATAGAAAGGGTTTGCCAGGCTAATTTTTATATCCACACATTGTAGGATGACCGATTTGTCTCATTCACTTTTTGAAGTACACATAACTCTCGGATTTAAATCCGAGGTTTCCACATTTATTTAATTTAAATAAAACAACAACAACTTATTCTATAGAAATTTTTGTTCAATATATATATTTATTTATTTTAATTAACATTTTAAATAATCGATTTATATAATAAGATGTTTCTCTTGTTTTTGTTATTATAATTGTAATTCTATTGAATATGGTTATATTATAATATTAATAGATTTATTTATATTAGAGATTCAAAAATAAAATAATATATAGAATTGATGTATTCTATTTAAAAATAAAAATAAATCTCATTTATCATCTTTATTTATGTTTGCTTTATTTCGATTTAATAAAATAGTTTTTTAATATTGAAATGAGGGGAAAAAACTGATAAATTATATTTGAAAGATATTATAAATTCAAAGAATTATTTTCAATAGAAATCGAAATAACTCGATCGATTTAACATATATTATACGAATGGAAGATATTTATTGAAATAAATCAAACTCTTAAATAAATAAATGAAATCTTATATTAATATAATAAATCATTTCAATGGTTAGACTAATATTGATAGAAATAAGATTTTATTCAATTTATTTATTTTAATTTAATTGAGTTAACCCTTTGCTGGTATTTTTTTTTTGTTAAAAATCTTTCTATAGTTTTATAATGAAATTATTTTATATTATTATTGTCGAGTTAAGATAATAATTATATATTATTGTTTTTCATTAAAAAAACTCTTTATTTAGAAATAAAATATCATTTGTTTTGAAGAGTATTCAAATTGTTAAAAAGAATTTTTTAAATCTAAGAAACGCTTTATATTATTTAAATAGATTTAAAGAATAGTTTTTATATTCGTAGAATTAAAAAAAACCAAACTTTCATATTAAACCTTTGTTGTTATTTTTTCAAAACTAATTTAAATAATTAACTATCTCCTTACATTTGGTCAAAAATTCGTTACTTATTATATAAATCGATTTCTAGATGAATCTATATTGATTATCTTATTATATATAAGGATTGACAACGAAAATTATTTATTATTTTAATAATCTATCCTAGAAACATTATATTGATCTGAACAATTTTGACACAATTTATTTCTCTCTACTGAACGATCGCTAACAAATGATTAACATTTCATCCGATTTGAACGTGTTTTGTCGAAAATCTGTTTTAACTGCTAGATAGAAACGTTCTATAAGACGAAATAATGATAAAATAGTTCGAATTATCGATTAAAAATTTCTAAGGAAATAAATTTAATCGATCCTTATAAAAATGTTTTGAAAATAAATTTATTTAAATAGGATACTTATCGATATGGTTAAACTAAGAAATTCGAAAATAAAAAATGAAAATATTTTTTTTTTTTTTATATTTATTAATATAGAAGTGATGATGTACCTGATTAATACAATCGAGTTCGTTATATTCGAGATTCTTGTAAAGGATTGTCTGACCTTTGGAAACTAGATAAAGATTTTGTAAGTTAAATAAAAGTATTGATAAGGATGTATCAAAATCATTGAAAGAATTTCGTTTGAGTGATGTTGCACGTTGTTATCGTTCTCTATATAGAAAAAATGGTGCTTTATCGATTTTAAATCAAACAATTGATGATTTAATTCAAATACATGATTTTATTGATTCCAAAAAGAAAAGAATGGCTTGAACAATTTAAAAAAATTATACGAACAAGCTAGAGATAAACAAGTATTTATTAATTTTATTTATTGATTTATTTCTAATATAAGTCAACTATTCGTCAAACAATGACTGAACTAAGAGATAATTATGAAAAAGCTCAACGAAAATTAGAAACAGCTGATGCCAATTTTAAAAAAAAATGTTTTAATGATTCTTTAATTTGTTCTACTTCTCATTTCAAAATATAATGTGCCCCATTGTTTTTTTTTTGAATAACTTTTGATAGGAACATCATAGAGATCTTCGGCTTTCACCATTCAAGAGAGAAGATCCGGAACCTTCCAAAATTCTCGCCAAGAACTTATCCAATTAGCCAATGAAATTTTGATATATTTCGATTGCTTTGGATCTTCTCTTTTGAATGGTGAAAACCGCAGGTCTCTGTAATATTCCTATCAGAAGTTATTTAAAAAACAACGGAGCACAATATATTTTGAAATGGATAGTAATTATTATCGTTAAAAAAAGAAGTCAAAAATACTGCGTTTCTAAACGTTTTGCTTTCACTTTACTTATTACACTTAATAAGATCATTTTTCTTATCGTTCAATATGGGTAAGGTAAATGGATATAGTAAAAAAATAACTTGTGTTGCTTTATTTATTTTTTTTGACGAATTTTCGTTTATTTTTTGTTCCTAATACAAACAATTGAATGTCAATTATTATTAGTATAAAATGAGTTCTACTTATTTAGAACTCGACAACAAGATTTCTATGATCAATATTCATCATCATATAATGATTCACATTACTGGCATGGAAATAATTCAAATTCATATGATTTTTAAGGTTCAACACTGGTGGAAATTCCTCAATTTCAACATTCATCTCATACACTTTTACAACAAAATGGTTTTACTTAACAAGTTTATCTTAAATATAAACAAGAATGTCTTGATGGTAAAAAAGAAACATTGATTGTAGAGAAAAAAAAGTTTATTAGTTCAGTACATATTTACAATATTTCGAGAGAAACAAACTACTAGTAAAAAAAGATTGAAATTACGTGGCATTGAACGTAAAGAAAACAAGTCTCTTAATGAATAAAGAACAGTCAACATATCTAAAGATAACAGCGAAAACTACTCTCCGGTAAAAATCAGAGTCTAAAAAGACTTATATTTTTATCTAAATAGATAACAGAGAATACGTCTGTTGCTATAATTTTCAAAGAAAAAACAAAGATTTTACTCTTTTATGGAGGTTTTTTAATAAATACTATCATCTTATCTACATGATAAATTTGAAAAGCAATAAAATAATCGTCAATGATTAAAAACACGAAGTTTCACTGATCGTCAAACTTTATTATTTCATAGAAAATATTTATAATCTAGAGTTATGTTAATTTACAAATAAAACACATTTTGTTTCTGTAATGATCTAATTTCTAGAACGCGTTAAACTTGGTCCTGGTCAATCAATGGAAATGAATACACTATCGTTTTTAGTCATTTTTCTTATGAAAAATAATAAGCAAAAAAATTGAATATTACTATTTATGTATAGATATGGTGTTGAATGTCTATTTTGATTTTATACATATGGTATCGAAAAACATTTTCATCAACATGTATTTGAAGATTTTTAACAAGAAACTCTTTGTGATCATGAAGCTGGTAATAAAATAGATTACACACACAAAAAAAAAAGAAAAGTGTCAATAATAAAAATAATTTTCCTATTTAGGTCAATTATATGGTTTAGAAAAATTCTGGGTATTTTTAAAATATTCTCGACAAAAACCAAAAATCAATCGAAAACTTGAAGAAATTTTAAAAAACTATAAAAATCTTGAAGATTTCCGTGTTGATGGTGCATCATTTCCACAACATTTTTTTCTAACAAAATCAAATTATAGTAATTGAAAAAATTTTGTTTTTCTATGATATAAATAATTTCTTTATAGACTGTTCCAGCATTCGAAGCAATTGCTGTTGCAGTAGCAAAAAACAGTGATACATCAAATTCATTAAAACCAATGGTGAACAATATCTGAACGGTGCTAAACTTTATACACGTTTTGTTTTTCTTTTGTTTTGTCTAGAAAAAAAACGGTGCTCATGTTTTTTCAAGTGGATTTCAATTTATTTAAAAGTATGCATGTATTTTTTTTTTTTTGTTTTCAAAGCTTATTGTTATTTAATCATTTTCTACGTATATATTACATTGATTTGTTGTTGTAGTAGATAGATAGATTAAATAGTGATGCATTTTCTTTTTCTATCGATAGAGATATGAAGAATTTTCTTATGGTTTCGTTTTATTTCTGGAACTATTTGCTAATAAAAACAAAACAACTAAACAAAGTTAATTTGATTATGATTATGCATGTTTTTCTTTTAGAAGAAAAAAGAAAGACAATGGCTTCATCTCGTTTATTTAATAATATTGGTAAGATATTGAGATAATATTTTATTTCGATAGAAGAATTTGGTGTTTTAGGAAGAATTGGTATTTGTTTAGCTATTGTTGGTGATGTGATTAATTCTATGCTTTGTAATGGTAAATATGAAAAGATTAAAAGAAACATTGTTTTCTTTAAATATAAATATATTCTAGTTGATGATGGTCATCGAGATGTTATTTTTGATCATTTTCTAGGTGTTAAACTAGATGTTATTGAAAAAGGAACTCATTTTATGATTTCATGGCTTCATAGACCAATTATATTTGATATTCGTACACGACCACGATCTGTTCCATCAATAATAGAAATAAAAGGTATAAAAGCTGGAAGAAAACAGTCACCTTCAGGAGAGGGGTGAACATGAGGAAAATGTAAGCTCGCGAAAAAAAGAAGGTAAATACGATGTCTATTAAAACATCAATGAATGTATATGGCTGAGGTATCTTAAAAAATTTTGCGGCCATCGATGGTGACTCAACTGATCGTTTTACACCTATACACTCTCATCATTCACCAATCTTAGGATACTTCATAAAACTTAAAATCGGAAGTCTCCGTTATTTTTTCTTCGTATAAATGAAATATGCATAAATTACATTTTATTATTTTTATTTTAGATTTACAAACAATTAATATAACATTACATATTCTTCATCGACCAAGAGCGGAACTTTTACCAAAAATTTTTTGCAAATTTGGGTTTAGATTATGAAGAGCATGTTTTACCATCGATTATTAATGAAGTTTTAAAATCTGTTGTACTAAGTCTCAATTTGATGCTATTGAATTGATTACACAACATACACTTATTTCTCAGCGTGTTAGTGAATTATTAATAGAACGTGCTGCTCAATTTGGTTTATTACTTGATGATATTTCGATTGTAAGATACAACAAAAAAGAGTCTCGAGTTGATTATATATAGTTTTTTCTTTAAATTAGACACATTTAAGTTTTAGACCTGAATTTACAAGTGCTGTTGAATTAAAACAATGATTTTTAGTCGAAAAAGTAAATCAATAAGAATAAAATTTGTATGAGTTTGTTTTTTTTTGATAAAAAAAATAGACTGAACAAAATCGTCAAGCAATTGTTATTGCAGCAGAAGGTGATGCTCGTGCAGCTGATTTGATTGGCAAAGCTTTAGATGAAGTTGGTGATGGTAAATTTTCGAATATCTTTTATTATCCTGTCTAACTTTGTTTTAATATTCATGTTAGGTTTGATCGACCTTCGGCGAATTGAAGCCGCTGAAGGTATTGCAAATCAATTATCAAAATCAAGAAATAGCGTCTATTTACCACATGGTCCTCAAATGTTACTTAACATTACTGGTGCTATGCAATAAAAATATTGTTTTTTGTTTTCATAGTAAACTAATGAGATTGATTTAGGAAAACAAAAAGAACATATAAGAGTTTTTTTTTTGTATGTGTGTGTTTATAAACTATTGAGAATACTAAAGCATTGTATTGTCCTGTTTTTTGTTCGATTAAAGAAAAAGAAGATCAGATCAACAATTCTCTAGATGATATTAAAGATTCGAGTACGATTGAAATAATGAATTTCGATAATCTCTTTCGACATTTTATATTAACTCAATCATTTGTACGTGATTGGGGAAATCCATTTCATTTACAAGAAATTTTTACCTATAGACGTGAAAAAATTGGTGTAAGAGATGAGTGTTTAGAACTTGTACCAGCTGAAAATGTACAGGAAAATACTGTTGAAATAATTAAACAAGAAACAAAAAGGTAATCAAAATTATATAAATGCTCGATTTCGTTTACCACTTGCCAATTATTTACCACATTTGGTAAGTAATTAAAATTATTTTAATCATTTCATTAATATTATCTTTTTTCTTTTGTTATATTTATTTAAATAGGTTTCATCTCAAGTAGCTACAGCTCATTTTCAACATGTTCTATCACGTGATCATCGTTTTGGTATTGATTCAATCCCAATAGGAATTTGTTATGCTGGAACAGGTGATCATGGTTTTAGTCGACGAAGATTATTTATTGCAGTTCTATTAATTAATCAATACCCTATATGTTCAATTCTTCTTGAAAATCCATATTATGGTTTAAGAAAACCACCAGATCAATCTCATTCATCATTATTATATGTTACCGATTTATATATCATGGGTGAAGTACTTGTTTTAGAAACACTTATACTACTTCATTGGTGTCAAAAAATGAAGTTAACATCAGCTATTCTACATGATTTTTCTTTTGGTGAACATATGGCTTCATTAGCATTTACAAAGTAAGATTCAATTCTATTATTTGATTTATTTAATGAATGGATATACAGTATCTATCATAATTTCAAATAATGATTCAAGTAGAGCAAACCATGTTACAAAAAGAATATAGATTAAAAACATTGATTATTTGATTCCCTAAATTAGGATATTTTTAGACAACCCAAAAGCCTAATTTCTCAGTATCTAGTACTTGAACTCTCTAGGACGGTTTTTTATGGAGTAAAAGTCGAATAATTTTGGTAGCCATTGTGTATATATTTATATTTTAGATGGCCTGATCCTCCTTCTCGATAATTCTATGAAAATAAAGCCTCTCAAACATTTTATGATTATTTACGTGAACGAAATCAATCAATAGATTCAAATAAAATTGTTCTCGATCTTATTAAAGATATGATGCGTCTTCTTATGGATGAATTTACATCTTTATATAATTATTCACGTTCAGTTCAATCAAATATATCTAATGCTATGTTTATTGCTGGTACACATGACGGTGATTCTTTCGAAAACGTACCACAATTACATCGACTTCATCCGAATCGAATGAAACTTTCTGAACTAGTAGAACTTGATAACATGATCTTAAAAATAACCTTCAAAAAGTTTCAAAATGCTGCGATCATGGTTTTTGACTATCGCTTCTAATGGCATTTCCAGCCAAAACTTGATTCATAGGATTTCTTTATTTGAAATGATAGAAAGCTGAAACTTTTAGAGTAGATACTAGTTGATGAGACAATCATTTTATTAAGCGAAAACTTTTTTCTCCGACGTTGTCTTTGTCATGAAAAGTTTCACAGAAAAATCAATTTTTTCGGGATTTTAGAGGCTTAATTTCTCCGATAAGGAACAAGATTTAATTAACAATTTTATACGCATTAGAATCGTCTTTGAATGTAGTATAACCCGACCCGAGAAAACCCGTGTAAATCTCGAAAATACTAACCCGTTAACCCGTGACCCGTCAGAGGTCCAACCCGGCCCGCGGGTCACGGGTCGGGCGGGTTGAAGCAAAACGGGCTAACCCGCCAACATCTCTGGTAGGAACATTATTAGGTATTCCTGCCTTACTCTTGAAAAACAATGTATCCTGCTTTATTATTGTCGGTATACTTAACAAAAGTTGCATTGTATCAAGTTTTTCTTTTCTCTTAAGTGCATCTACCTTCTCTCGGTTGATCATGAAAGAAAAGATTATATTTTTTCATGATTAATTGGTTCACAAAATGGAATATTGAAATGTATAAGAAGCTAATTAGTGTTCGACGTCGAAAGATGTACTCTATTAAGATACACTGATTGATGTTCACTTCAAAGTTTCTTTTAGCAATTTTTCTTGGTACTTTTATAAATCAAATAGACCCATTAAACAATCTCATTTACAACTAAAAATAAATTCTTATAGAACTAAATAATTGCAGCACTAACATACTTGAACTCAAATATTTCATTCATACAATTATACGTTTATACTAGCCTATTAATTTTGACTCTTGGGTTAATGCTCAACAGTCAATAGTCACTTTGTTGTTGCTCTTCAAACAAAACATACGACAAAATAAAAAATTTTCTCACACAGCAATTCAGCAGTTTTGAACATTTTTTAAAGTGCTTTACAATTTGTTGTCATGATAACTGTCAATCATGATGCAGCGAAGGTAAGATGTGGGTGAGAGTGTTCGTCAAGACTTTCAATCGCTATTGTTTCTTAAACACAAAATTTCTACGTGATAATTTTATTAAATATGTTTGGAATAATGCAACATAATTATTGTCTTAGCAGCTACGAGGCTAACGGATGCTGTTCCAAAATGAGTTGAATTTTATTCGAATTGTGTGTTTTTTCCTACATTAGTTTGATTGTAACACTTGACTCGTATATAATAATGAACAATATAAAAGTTAGTATTACTGAAAATCTCTCAATAAATTGATTCTACCTTCCTGAGTGCACATAGCCACTTCCTTTACTTAAATATGAAATAATTTAGTTTGAATTTGTTTCGATAATAAAAGTGAGAAGATAAAAACTTTATTTAAATATAAATGAAAGTATATATAGATAAATATAGATATGATTTAGATATACAAATAAGCTTATTAAGGATAGATAACTTTTCTTTAATCTACAAAAAAATAATTAAAAGTATATTAGATAATAATCACTCCATTTTATTTTGATTAACTGTTTTAAAACCGTTCAGGTATATCGATTGTTGTTCCACATCTCTGACAAACAACAGTTCGTAAACCATCAACTGTATGCACTATACTTCTTTCGAGATGAGTTGCTTCTTCTTGATATTCTGTTGGTGGTGGTACCTTAAATGACCAATTTGGCTGTGGCATGGCATATGTTGGACGCTGACCACTGGAAGGAAAATTTTCATTATTTCCACCTCTA